TAAAAATTCTTTCATTACTTTTTCTCAGTTTCAAACACGGAAAATCAAAATCTTTTAAGGGACGTTTGGTTCATAAATAGATTCAGAATAACGATTCAAAATTATTCTCATTTTACGTGTATTTTTTGTAAAAAAAATACTATAGTGAGTCACGAATCATAATTCGAATCATGATATGAATCCCTACTCCAAACGTCCCCTTAAGGTCTTAGGAGACGTTTGGTTCATGGATTAGAATCATGAGATTAGAACCATTTTCGATTTACGTATATTTTTTGTGAGAGAAAACACTATACGAAATAATGATTCAAATCGGGATACGAATCCTCCAACCAAACAACTCCTTATTCTTTTTAAAACTCAAATTTTATTATTATAATATTTTATTTCACACAAATTTAAATTTAATTTTTTTATTATAATATTTTTCTTTTACGTACACATTTATTTGAGTTGTGAAATAAACATATTCTAAATCTTTTTCCCTTCCCCCATAAAATCTGGGTTCGAAACAACCCCTAAATGTAGAAAGAAAATATGTCACAGCCCAGCAAAGATCGGTCATAGTTCCTCTATGTAAGAATTTTAAAACATTTAGTAGACATTTGGTTTATGGATTTAGAATCATAATTCAAGACTATTCTCAATTTAGGTGTGTTTTTTATGTGTGAAAATACTGTAGCGAATTACGAATTATAATTCGAATACACTAACTAAACGAAATTTAACCGCTTTCGCACACATGAGAGAATTTTATTGCACTCCCCTTTAGTGCTTGAAAATTATAGAACAGTTGTGCTGGGAAGGAGTTCATAGTTGTTTATACGTTTATTAAGATTTTGGAAAATTCCATGACAAGTGCCAACACACATACTGATCATTGGAACTAGAATAACAAAAAAATAAACAAAACTTTTGGTTAGAGCTCAAAGTTATTGTCGATACACTTCATCATCTAGAACATTTTTCCAAATCAGCCATAGTAACATGAGTTAACAACCCTTACAGTCTGTTAAAATTTTTAAAAGTTCATTCTGCCACGCTGCAGCAATTTTTTCAACACACTATGGGCCCGTTTAGTTCACTTAGTTTGTTGATTTGAGTTTTTAATTTGAGTTAAGATGTGACTTTATGTGAAATTTTTTTATTATAATAAAAAAATTAAATATAATTATTTTTAAAAGTTTTTTACTACAGTAAAACTTGAATTTTAAACCGGAATCAATGGGGCCTATATGTATTTTGGTTAGTGTCTAGTAGATCACTGATGGTAATGGAGCAGATTACTCTAGTGTCCGTTATCCACAACCGAACAAAACATGTCTCGTTTGACGTTTTGACTGTCCTCTTACGTGTCAGAATTCTTAACATGCATGCGATATGGTCAAGATTTCCCTCTAATTTTGTCTTTCGAAGCGTGTCTTTTTTTTTTTTTTTTTTTTTTTTTTTTTTTTTAAAAAAAAGGGGATAAACGTTGTTTTCATGGGGG